TTTAGGTTTACGTTTTTTTCGTTTTTAGTTTAGTTAAGTTTAGTTTACGTACTACTACTACTACTAAACTTAAACTTTACGTTTACGTACTTACTTACTTATTAGTACGTCTCTCTCTCTCTCTCTCTCTCTCTCTCTCTCTCTCTCGCTATGTCTGTGTGTGTGTGTGTATTTTGAACAAGTACAAATCAGTTCTTGGCCTTTATTGCTATCCAGTTATTTTTTTATCAATGGAATTGCAGGCATTTCATCTATTTCACGTGTCCTGTCTCACACATTGGCTTCTTTTATGCGAATCTGAGATAATAGCTGGTCAATCATGTGGTGTGAAACCTAGCCCAAAGAGGGGCAGAGGAAAGAGGAAGGCAAAAGGAAATGAGTCTTTGAGTTCACAAATTTCGCGTGTATTCTGCCCAGAATGCCAAGGCACTGGTCTAGAGATTCAAGAGGGAAAGCTGGAGGCTCCAAGATTTCCTCTGCATCAGGTTTGTTGTCCCAGGAACTACGTGGTATTCATTTAGGAATCTTCAATTTGACATTACGACCATGATTTTCGGTAACTTCTGGGATATTAAAAATATTAGTAGTTTTTAAATGTGGGAAAGAATTTTTGAAATGAGGGTCAAAGCACTCCACATTTCGTTTGGAGTTCCCGAAAAGCCTGAAAAATTGACGATTAACATTTTTCAAAGCTTCTACTGTTTAAGAATTGAAAAAAGTTTTTGATTCCTTTGCTATGTCTCTTTTTGTTGGGTAAAAAGACATTCCTTGGCTATTCATTAGTAGAATGATGCTGAAGAGTAGCTTAAGGTACACTGGTGATATATGGGTAACTCCCACTGGCTCAACCTTTTTTCCTTTAAGAAAGTTGTTCAGGGTGTAGCTCGTGAGAACTCGGCTAGTTTCTAAAGAGCTCACAAAGTACTAAGAAATGTTTAAATGGTAATCTTGCAGGATTGTAGTATACTTGGTAATATCGAACTTGCACTATTTTGTGTCTTATCTTTAATTTTGCATATGTTTCTGCTTGGCTATAATTTCAGATGTTCCTTTGGTTATTAAAAACGGTTGAATCACACAAAGCATATATGGCACATCCCGAACCTCTTCAGGGATGCTCCACAGGTCTTTGTTTCAAAAAGGACTCCACAGAAGATGGTCAGGTTTGTTGTTTGACCTCTCAAATCTTAGAGTCATTCGACCAATTATGTATAGATATATTTACTTTTTTTCACTTTTGCAGGAGAGTGTGATTCCTCAAAAATTGTTGTGCTTCTATCGAGCTGACGAGGAGAGTCTTTGAGTGGGAATTGTTTGAAGATCGCCGAATAATGTGATTCTCTGGTTCTGGTGGCAATTATTAGATTTCCCATGTGGGTAGGAACTTTCGACTCTTTAGTTGTGTACATGCTGTTGTACCATAGTAGTGTGCATTGTGCTCTCTAATTCTGTACATTCATGTTTACTGTAGTACTGTGCATTGTGCTCTCTAATTGTGTACATGCATGATGTACAAAGTGGTGTAGAGTTGCAGAGTGTGCTAATCATGGTTAACATAACACGACGACGTATTGATGTTCAATGGAGGCAATGGAAATCGTAGTCTTCGAAACTTACTTTTTTGTCGACTCAATCTACTTGATGCATGCATCAAGTTACATAAGTAGTGGGCAACTGAAAAATCCATTATGGTTCTAATATGTGAAAAGAAAGTGGTTGTCTGTATATAAATGCATGCATATTCGTATGTGTATATATATATTGGAAAACTCTGGCCAATGCATATAGGCGAAAATGAACAGTGATTTTGTTTATACTCATCACCATCCAAACTGCATAGTCACATTTGTTCGGTAGTGTTTCAATTTTCAATTTTTTTTTTTATAAATTTAAATTACTTGAAATTAAGAGCGTGTATGCATCTTAGTAAGACACATCTAATAAAAATATGAAAAAAATAATTCGTAAAATATAAATTGATTAAAATACAACAAAATATTTATGGGGGTATTTTGGTTAATT